AACTGGATCAGAGGAGTCAGCAGCTGGAGTCAATCAGAACCACTCAGGATATTTTGGACCTAGCAGATTTTATCATATTTTCAGAGGACCTTTAAGAAATCAAGGGAAAAAACAAAATGCCCGATTGTTTTGATTTGTGACGTGTTTCAGTGATTCCATGATGGAAAATGGAGAGTTGTAGGAGTCACTGAAAGCTCAAGACCAACATGATATACGTGGTCTTTACTAGTTTATGGAAACTTGTGTTCTCGACTGTACATACACTGACAGGAACCTTCTGATGCCACAATTTCATTCGTGTTTGAAAATGTTGCCCTTTTTTCCATTTTCAAGGACAAATAATTTTAAATTCAGCCTCTGCTGGAGACATTTTGTGATTTGGATTTGTTTGGTTTCATCTTTTAATTCAGCTCAAATGTGTTAAATAAAAAGTGTGAAATTTGGACCCACCTCCATGTACTAGAAGGTCTCTGAAAATATTCATGTTATGAAGGAAAAAGCGCGGCTTCATTAAAATATACTGAAGTTCTTGTAAAAAATCAACTGATTCTGAGGGAATTTTTATGGAATAAAACCACACAGAAGAATATTTCTTGTGGCGTGCTCCATATTCCATATTCAGGTTTTCTCAAAGCAGAAGTACGGGTTCCTCCAGGTCTCTGGAGTTTAAAGTTGAACAGAATGGTGACGTTCATGCTTGCTAACTTCCGTGCTGTGTTTTCAGGGGACTGGTGGTCGTCGCTGTCGCCCTCCTCCATGGTTCGATATGTGACGGTGTGGAAGCAGGCCATCTCGGCCATCCTGACCTCTGAGCCTGATCCTTACAAGTCCGGAGTCAGAAACCTGCTTCAAGTCCTCCAGTACATGTACAATGTTAGTATCCTGCTCACTTTTATACAGAATCAACCTTTCTGTCAGCGTTTTACCTCATAAAGTCGGATAAAAAGCCAAGCAAATGTTTCCTTTCAAGGCCAACAGCAGGGTTGCAGAGTCTCGGAGGATGCCGGACAGCGATTTCTACTTGTCGGTTAGCCGAGGCTTTCTCCGTGGCGACCTCCTGCTCTGGCGGTCGCGGTATCGACTCGTGGTGAGCTGAAGCCTTGTGGCTCTGTTTCACTGGTCACTCGGTCTCCTCACATTTATGTGAACAACATGAAAGAGTCCATGTTTAGATGGTTGTCATGTGTTGTTGACCCTAAGCGACCTTTGTGCTTTTCTTTCTTGGTAGTCGGTCGGTATTCAGCCTCTCGTTGTTGGTAACTTCCCGATAGTGATGGACCTGCAGTCAAAGAAACTGGTTTTTGACTGGAATGCTAATTACAGCAAGGTAGCGGAAGCATCATTACGACTTTACAGGAATCCTGTTTTGCACAACACAATAAACTGTGTGAAATTTGTGTTCCAGACAGTAGACATTCCTGATGCACTCTTTGAATTGTTTTGGAGTCTTGGATGCCCTACTGATGGTTACTATGAATACTGTGAGCTGGTGCTGAGGCGAGCGTCCGTTCTGGAGGACACCTTTAAAGAACTGGCTGCTGTTGATCACAACGACTACAAGAAGCCGCTGGCGGTAAACACAGCGAGGTTCATTTCACAACACTTCATTGTTTAGCTACCCTTTGTGAGTTTGTGCCCTTTCGCTCTTGCAGGTCTATTTTGATGAAGTCTTTACGTTGGACAACCTCAACGTGAAAGACTTCTTCTATGAAGTTTTTCACGAGATGGTCTCAGCAGAATCTGGGATGTTCACGTTCAACGACTCTGGAACGCTGGCCTGGTTTCCCTCCACAGTAAGACTTTAACCCACTTTTTTTGATTCAGTTCAGCTCAGATTCACCAGTTCTGTATTCAGGGACTGATTTCTGATCTGACTTCAGGCGGCGCCAGAGGACCAGCGGTTCTACCTGTTCGGGGTTCTGTGTGGACTCGCCCTGTACAACCAGCACATCATTTACCTGCCGTTCCCGCTGGTTCTGTTCAAGAAGCTGCTCGGAGTGAAGCCTTCGCTGGAGGATATGATCGAGTTCAGCCCGACTGTTGGGGAGTGAGTGAACATCAGACCATCCAGGTTCCTACTTCAGCCCTCCGACCGTCCGTTAACACACTGTGCTCTCTGTTTGAAGGAGTCTGCAGTCCACCCTGGACGACTACTCCGACGATGACTTTAAAGACCTGTACATGTACTTTTTGGTAGGTGCTTTGCAGACGATCAGTAACTCTTCTATCAAAGCCGTGGTCATCACTGTCTTCTTCTCTGTTTAAAGATCTACTGGGACGGGAGAGAGGTCGACCTCGATCCGAAGAATCCTGAAAAGCCGGTGACGAGTCAAAACAAGTAAGAACCATTTTTTACTCGAGTCATTCTGTGCCAGCATCAGACAGAAGTCAGGAAATGTGTCGCTGCAGCGCCTCAGATAGTGTTCAGAGGTTTTACTCATTTCTTATTTGGGACCCAAAACTAGGTTCTGTAAAATATTTTGCCTGAATTGGCACAATTTGTTTTCAGACCGGGGAATTTTTGTATTTACAAACTAAAAAAAGAACCAACATATAGAACCGACACCTAGAACCAACAT